CCCTAACCCTAACCCTAACCCTAACCCTAAACCTAAACCTAACCCTAAACCTAACCCTAAAACAAACCCCTAAACCTAATCCTGACCCTTACCTTAATTGAAGTCGGCTTTCTGCTGCGGCGCCGTTTTAAAGCGCCCTTCTGTTGCCGTGCTGTTGTCGCGGCGGTGATGATGCGCGGTGATGATGTTGCGGCTTTAGCGCCGTGATTTTATCACTGCGATTTTGACAAGCACGGTTTTGTCGTGCCACGAGCAAACAGAGTGGTCAACGCCTGGAATGCTCTTCCCCAAACTCACACAACTTTCACCTTAAGACTGTCTACTGTTGACCTCATCCCATTCCTAAGAGGTCGTGCATAAGCGCATCACCGTGCCTATTGTCCCTGTCCTAATATTCCCTTTTATTTGTATCCATTTCATGTATTCATAATCATGTTTATGCTTATATCTGTTATCTAATACACGCTTGATGAATCAATAAATAAACATCCGTCGTCATTCCAGTAGCTCCTTCCAGGGTAGATTACATGTTGTTTCACCTGATCACAAATGTTTTAACTTCTTAAAAACAAATAAGCAACGCATAAAGGTCGAAGCCAAGACTTTTGAGAAGTATTTCGTGCCACTAACACTGACGGCATCAAGGTCGATCCAATAACTTTATCCAGAGCATGTGGACTCTTCCAACCAACGGCAACATTTCTACAGTTCCAGCCTGCTCTCAATTTAAAGCAAATTGTACAGGTTAATTGAAGAAGTTAAGATGCTCCTTTTCTCTTGTTACTCCCTTCAGTAATGAATAGACAAAGAATTTATCAGCCTTTGCTCCCAAAGGCTGATAAAGGTTTCCTCTTGTAAAACCCTAAATTACAGGAATAATTATAGCAAGAAAGCATCTTGTACCAGTATGCAAAAATGTTCTGTAGCCAAGGAAACTGGAATGGTGAAATTAGAAAGCGTGATACTCCCTGCAAGTCTTACATTACTACCATGAATTTCTAAAGCTTTTAGACCATTTATCACTTGTAAAACTATCAGCTGATATTGTGATAGCTTAAACAGGTTAGAGCCTACGAAAGCAGAAGGTGTAGCCTAAGAAAAATAGCAATAGCACATAGACTTATATACTGCTTTACAGCCCTCTCTAAGCAGTTTGAAGAGTCAGCATATTGCCTGCAATCATTTGGTTCCTCATTTTACCCACCTCAGAAGGACGGAAGGCCGAGTCAACCTTGAGC